TTGGTGGTGGGAAGCCCATGGGGATTACAAATGAGATGGAAAAAGTCACAAAATGATGTAAGAATAAACTATTATATTATTAAAAAAAAAAGTAGCATGATTTTAAATTAGAAATTCAGCATAAAGACAGATGCTACAGGTTTTTTTTTTTCTTACTTAATGTAAGTGGTGAATTTAGCCCTAAGATAGGAAGTCCTCAGCAAAAAAAAACAGATCTTTTACCTTTGCCTGGGAATGACAGGACGCAAGGTTTACTGGCCTTGCTGTCTCAGTCCTCTTTGGATTATCATATACTTTCGGTTGTTATTTCTGTCTTATTTCAAAAACAAACTTTTCAATCATCTTTTAATCATACATTTTCATTTCAAACTCTCTCATAGTAAACAGTACAAAAAACTTTCTTAAAAACTAAGTTAGAAATATTAGCATAAAAATATCATAAAGCTGCATGCAAGTATATTTTAAATTGATCCTCTAATAGTTCCTTCATTTGATAAATATTTATCTAGTAACTGTTACAGATTCAAATGAATCTGAGATTGGAACTAACCTCGCAGAGTTCTGAGGTACTCAAATGAAAATGTCACACTTCAAAACAAAGAAGATAATGAGATAATGGATTCAAGCCCACTATTCCAAACTGGAAATCATACATTTGTGCTCATACTTCTACAAAGAATCAGTAATTAGTTAAAAAGAAGAAGAAGAAGAAGAAGAAGAAGAAGAAGAAAAAGAAGAAACTTCTTAAATCCTAAAGTTAGTCTCATAGTAAAATAGTTCTACAGGTAAAAAGGTGATAAATTGTCAAAAAAAAGGGGAAGAAATATAAAAACCTTTAGAAAATTTGTCAATCTTTAAGTTTTAAGATTATTCAGCTATGAAGTAGTTAAATATTAAACAATTGCATAAAATATATTTCCATTTTAATATTAGCAAAGAGACATTAACACTATTTGACAGTTAGTAGTCTTTTCTTTTGTATTTTATATAAACAATATATATTGCTTATGTTCAAATGCCTCCAAATATTTAGGATTTATTAATTACCTCCATCATGCTTTATCTAACTTTCTATAGTTAGTTTCTGGCTACCATGGTGAAACCATCCAAATGGGCAGTAATTTTTTATCTATAAGCAGATATACTAAAAATAGTGTCACAGGCCCTCCCTGGTGGTGCAATGGATTAGGACACAGCACTGCAAGCTAGTGGCAGCTGCTTCACTGAGAGTTCTATCCCCGGCCCCTGAGGTGACCCACATGGCACAGCTGACCTCTCTTAACCTGCCTGCTGCTCCCCTTAGCAATGTCCTTCATCAACCTGCCTATTTTGCTCCCCACTCTGACTTTGGTGAGTCCTCTCACCGCCCCTGCACCTCTGGCCTGTAACCCAGTTCTGTTTACATAAATAAATAAATCTTTTTAAAAAAAGTGTCACTATAAAAATGAACTCTATGATTATTCATTATAATATACATCATTGTAAACACATATAAAAATCTTAACAGTCTTACCTTAAATATGTGCCATATATGAAGAATAATGCCATCATTAGTCCATTTAAAATAAAAATTACAGCAACATAAAAGCAAGCAGGATCTCCCAATCCTTTAAAATAAACAAAACACATAATCCAACTATAAATCAATTGATAGTGCTAGCAATTTATATTAAATGTGCTTATTTTGAAAATGATTACCAGATATATTAAATAACTAAATGACCCTACTGAAAAGATAGAGGAGAAGAGGGGAGCTGTGGTGGTTTTAAAACAGGGATACGCATTCACTGACTTCGCCTGTGGAGATACGGGTTTTACGCCCAGCTTTAGAGTGTAGCTGGGTTTGTGATGACTAATAAGAGTATACCAGAAGCCAAAGTATGTGACTTTCAAAGCTAGGTCACATAGGACACTCAGTTTCCAGTTTGGATTCAGGAGCTGCCTTTAATGGGACTGACTCCCCTAAGGACCATGCTAGACAAAAGGCCATGTTGTGTGGAAAGGGCACTCACAGGCTGACAGTCCCAGCGGCATCCAGCTCTGCAATCACCGTAGTACAGGACACAGAATCTAAATTAGTAGCAGCCAGATAATTCTAGACTTCCTAGTCTTTTGAGTCTTAGAAACAGAGGCCTCTGACATCATGGAAACAAACCAACCCTGCTATGGTCTGCCCAAATTCCTGACCTGAGAATCCATATGCATAGCGGGTATTACTTATACTGTAAGTTTGGAATAAGACTTAATGGTACAATAGATAACTAGATATTATCGCAGAAACACACTTGCCTTCACAGCTTTCAATAGGACTGAGTCCTTCACCTCTGGTAACTGTCCAACATATCTTGGTTTGAATGCCGATTAAGTCCATTATTTTGGTATAAATTCGGTACCAGCTGGCTAAAATGACCTGGTTTTGAAATGGACATACTGTAAGAAAAGGTATATCCTCAATGGTTTCATTACTAGAATATTTTTGAGCTATTTTGCTAATTATCAAATTTCCCTTTCTTGTACAGCCCAACTCGGGAACTTTTAGGCCTAGTGAATTGAGTATTACAATCCCCTCCACACACTCTTCACTAGTCAGTCTTGGATCATTTACCCAAGGATAAGAATGAAATTCAAGGAACATGTAAAATACATGTTTTCAAAAACTATTACTTTATAGTTTTCTATAAAGCTCTATTAGGCACATAAAAGAAGATTAAAAAAAAAAACAGAAAAATACTATGTCTTCATGAATAGACCTAATCTTCAAGATGTAAATTCTCCTCTTGCTAAACATAAAATCAAAAGTGTTCACACAACCAAAAGGAGACAACTGGGAGGATGTGCTTATAAAAATTAAAATTGGTTATTCATAATAAATAGTGTGGCACTGGCCCAAGAAGAGTCAGACAGAGCATAGTAAGTAGGGTCGGGCACTGGAGTATCACCCAGACCCCACTTCCGGGCCAAGATATTCATTTCCCCACCAGCTAGGAGGGCTGGTGTCTAAGCTTCTCAGTCTTCTTGTAAAACTACCCTTTGCTAAAGAGACTAAATTTACTCAAAGTCACACCCTGGGTAACCTTACTCAGCATTTGACTAGTCAGAGGGGAGGGGTGTAAAGGCCAGCAGCCCTTGTCCCAGTGTGGAAAAACTGCAAGGCCATGCCAGTTCCAGAGCTACTAGGGATGGGGTGGGGCCTTTGTTGAGGGTATCATAGCTCCACTCCTCCTCCTGCCTCACCCATCTCTCTTCAAACACTTCTACATGCAAAGTCCGACTCAAAGCTAGTTTTCCAAGACCCCAAATAAGGCAACACTTAACACAAAGTTCAAAAACAGAGGCACATATGTACAATCATGTTGAATATAATAAAGAAAGCTACCTCAAATCATGGGGAGGAGACGGACCACTCATCAAAGAGGTAACACAAAAGATCACTATGTTAGCTTCCTACCCCAAATTATACATCAAAAGAATTTCTAGATTAATTAAAAATATAGATATTGGGCCCTCCCTGGTGGCACAAAGGGTTAGGATGCAGCACTATGAAGCTATCATAGCCACTGCAGCACGAGTTCAATCTCCGACCAAGAGGTGACATACATGGCGTGGCAGATCTCTCCTCTCTTGCCCACTGCTCTCCGCATTGTATTTCAGTATGTCTGTCTGTTCTGCTCCCCACTCTGTCTCTGGTGTATCCTTTCACCCATCATACCTCTGGCCTGTACCCCAGTTCTGTACGTATAAGTAAATAGGTCTTTTAAAAAAATGTAGATATCAAAAATATACTTATATTATTTAAAAAAACCAAACATTTTTAGATATATGAATAAACAAAATCATGTATTAAAACTCTCATAGGTGTATTTCTATATAGAAAAATTTATACACCTCATAGATAAAGCTACAAGGCAAACAAAAAGCTAGGGAAAATGTTTTGTCCATCCAGCATAACTCTGACATCCTATATATAACAAAGGAGTTCTTACAAGACTTCTACAGAAATATAGACAAAGGACATGAAGAAGCAATCATTCTTTAAAGTGAGAATGCATCCTTAATATACAGCATTGAATGAAATACACACACAAAGAACAAGAAGTGAAATATATAACTCTAATTTCTGTGTCTATCAAATTAGCAAGGATGAAGTAAACAAGCACTGCTAGTGGGAATTCCACTTAGCATAGCCTCTCTGGAAAGCACTTTTGACAGTATGTGCCAAAATAAAATTTACCAAACTAAATTGTTCCACATCAACAAATTTACAGTTTAAAAAAATAAGGATTTATGTAAAGATTTAGTTTCAACGAGACTAATTGCAGCTTTGTGATGTGCAAAAGTTGAGGGAAAAAAAAAACAGAATTTTCCTAAGAGAACTAAACAAGCAATGGTATTCTGTACATTCAGCCACTAGAAATTATGTGGTAAAGAGACAGTTATATTCTTAAGGATAAAAAACACTTAGGAAAAAAAAATACATGCTTTGTGATCCCATTTTTCCTATACGATTCCATTTCTGTAAAAGTAAATGTGTATATGGTTATAGAAAGGTCACAAATCAGCAGTACCTTACTAAGGAAACACTAGACTTTGGTGACTCATTATTCATCTCTAACTCCTCCATCTCTGTCTCCTCATTAATCAATGGGCTAACTCACTGATCTGGAAGTTCAACTCCTCCTCTTACTCAATGGGAAATGACTGACAGCCTGCTCGGTGCTGGGGCTGAGCCAGGACTTGGAAAACCACAGAGACCAAGTCAGCCCTCGCCCTGCTATCAGGCACAGCTGTCTGGCAGCGTTAGCTTGCTAAGAAGGAAGAACACTGGGGAAGTGTGCTGAACAGGGGAAGATGTCATTATGGAAATCACATCTAGGCTTAGCCCGGAAATACTCAGGAATGTGTCCACTGAAGGCAGGGACGTTAAAGAAAGAGCAACAGGGTAAAATAAATTTCACTGTTTTTTTGTGTCCTAGATAAACCCACTTCCCCCCATCCCCACCCCATTCTGTTAAATGAGGAACCCCAGATAATGAAAAGAATGTTTGGCAAATGACATGTAAAAATAATGATGTCCTCCTGCGATAGTCCCTAAAAGCATACTTTAAATCTAGGAAGGTTATATACTTTCTAAACCAAATAGTCATAATAAGAGTTCTCATGGAATCTGTCAAAGTTCCTCCAAAAATAATACTTTTCCCCATATTTTTCCAAGAAAAAATATTTTCTTTTTAAAAAATAAAGTGTAATGTATTGAACTGTATCTTAAATTAGAATCAGTACTAAATGCAGATAACACTTCTTTAAAGATGTGCAAAATCACAGCTACAGAAGTAACTTACCTCAGGGTAAAGATTGAATCTTTTTAATGTGTTAATAACAAGAGGATATTCAGTCAGCTTATCATTCATAATCATCCACACTCCATTAAAAAATGAGGGTGCTTCCACAATGGTCTTGAAATAAGAGTAATAGAGTCCCTGAAAAGTCAAAGTCAAGTTATGATTTATAATTAAAAAGTGCATGTTTCCTATGCCTTTTGTTAACTTTAAAAAATTTAAAATACACTGTTCTTAAAAAATAAAGCAATAGAGCAAGTAACGGCCGCAATTCATTTCACAGATTTCTGATCATAAAAATTCTTAGTTTGCCAAAACACTACATATTTTATATGGCCTTGCCTTAACTGGAAAAAAAGAAAAAAAAAAGCTCAAAATAGCTTCAAACATAGGTTTGATTTTGGAGTCATGTAGCTATCTTAATTATAAAACAAAAAAAGAAGGGGCTCTTGGAATAACGCATGATTCCATGGAGAGGAAATGGCTTGTAGAAACAAAGTAAGGAAACTAGAATACCCATGAGGTCCATGTCAAGAGGACTGAGAGCCAGCCATAAGGGCTCTCACCCGCTACACAGAGAAGTTTTCTAAAGATTAAGATCCATCAGATCACAATGACACTCAAAAGAAGGAACTCCAATGAGCGAGCACTAAAGGATGAGGGGAACTAACTCATTTTTCTGAAAAGTGGTGAACAGAAGATTGTTCACTTTTTGTTATTTCTTTCCTTATCTTTTCTGTCTGAAGTGTACCTCAGAGAGACCAAAAAGGATAGTGGAAAGTTTATTTTTACAGAATTATAGTTAATAAGTGCATAAAAAAATAAGAGACTAGTCATCACCATTTGGCAGTCCTAAGAAAATAACCGAAGGAGGCTGTTGGAAAGAAATGAACATGACAAAGCCATTGATAAATCTGTACAGCACAGATAACAATCTTTTGACATTGTACAAGAGCAGAGCATCACTTATGAGGTATTTCTCCCAGGAGAAAAAAAAAATCAAATCTGCAGCTGATCTATCAATTTTCCAGAAATTTAGGACAATGGAATATAAAATCAACATGAATTACATGAGTAAATCTACAGAACAAATGATGTGATTCTGCAACAAATAAGTGCCAGGAAAACAAAACCACAAAAATGGGAAGGAGAATTTATTATTAAAAGACACATCAACTAAACACAATGATTAGACATTGTTTGGATCCTGACACAAACGTACAACACACATACTGTAATAATAATAAACAGCATCAGATCACCTTAAGCTCTGGTAGATAGCTGATGATGTTAAGCAACTGGTGTACACTAAATCTTTCTTTTGAGAAACAGATGAAAATATTTACAGAAGAAATGTTATGATGTCTGAGGTTTCCTTTAGAAAGAGATGGCATGTGGGAGGGAGGTGGGGAGAGGGAAAGCTGTCTATTCTCTCTACTTTGGAACAACTCTAAAAATCCCATAACAAAAAATTTCAAGTTTTCAGATTCTAAAATACTACAGTAAAATACCACACAAAAACTAACCATTTCTGTACGAAAAGCCATCTCTCTTTCCAGTGTCGAGAGGTGAGAGAAATGACGATCATTTTCAAATAGGTGTGTTATATGACTCCTGCAAACAAAAGAGCAACAAAGCAACAGTGTTGAAACTAACACACAGTAATACTTTCAAAAGAAAATTTGCAGGTAATTTTGTAATTGAACTCAAGCATAATGTATCCATATCTGTTTGTCTACCTAGTACGTCTTATGTTTCTAAAAGGTATCTTTATAAGAAAAAACATTCAAATTAGAGTTTAAAATTAGAATGAACCTAGAATAAAAATATATTAAACCAAGTACAATAAAATTATAAATTACATTATAAATGTCAGAGTTACCATTCAGAAGTATCTAATGAAATTCATCTCTCTCTCTCTATAGAGAAGATTAAAAAAATTAATCTTCCTCTCAACATGAACATTATATTAATGCTAAACGAGGTAGTCTCAAATATAGCCTCTTTAATAATGAATCTCTTTCCTTAATTAAAAAAATCACATTATTCTGACCCTGATTTATCCATTAAGCTACTTTTTCAGATATTGTGTTGAATTGTAATAATATATACATCCTTATCACACTGAAAGTATTCCTTTATATATGTGTATATGTAAATATGTACAAGCATGCATACATGCATATCTACATACATGCGCATGAACATATATACATAAACCAGTCTTGTTAAGTTATAAATAACTACATTAAATATGCATAACAGAAAAACAATCTTACCAGTGCAACACTGCTGCAAAGGCAGCTAGAAAAAACAAGAAACTGAAGTTATTAATTTGACAACAAAATATGTCCTCTTTACAGAACAGCATTACAAAGATAAGCTTGGTAAATTTTGTGATGTCTAAATGTTGGACTTTTAGGAAGTGGGGAAAATATATTGACTTGAAAGAAGCTTCAGGATTGTGCTTAAAATACCAATAAACTGGATTATAATGCATTAGGTCTATACTTATACTTTTCATTCACTGACTCATTAAACAAACATCAGAGGTTCTATTAATTGTTTAAAGATGTACAAGGAACCCTCAGATGGAGACCCCACAAATAAATCAACTGGAAGAAGAATAGAACCAATGGTAATTTAGAAAAGCAACAGGGTGGCCTCAGAGAAAAGACCTAGAGCCAGAAGAATGGGAACTATCACCTTCTCGCTCTGCTGCAGTATCTGGATGTTTATGATACCCTTTACTATTTTTAAACAAATTTAAAAGGAAACCAATAAAGATGAAAGGAAAAGATGACAGAGTGAAAGGAGAAAAGGTATGAGAAAAGGCAGGCTAGTCATAAAGTCAATTTGAGACTTCATGACTTGCTTTCTGTCCAAAGTACAAAATACATATGAAGACAACCTGAAAATACCATTCAAGTTTCTCATATCACAATACTCATCCTATTGCAGGCTTCTGATTAAATAACTCCTAAGGAATCAAACCATGATGATATTCTGAGAAACAAACAAACAAAAACAGCTCAGATCTTATTTCCTCATTCTTTAAAAAGTACTGATACTTTTCAATATCACTAAAGTTAATACTGATGGCTATAAAAAACAAAGCATTATCATTTCTAGGTAGATCTTCAACATTGCAAATATTTATCTAAGTTTGTCAAATGTTTTGAAATGGTACCTTGACTTTTAAATTTTTTACTCTTTTTTTTTTCTTATTGACAAATCAACCATTTCCTTCCTTGTCTGGTTTCTGACTTTGAAGACTTTATTTCACCATAATAAATATTGAGTTTTATTTTCTCAATAATCTAACAACAATGCTCTGAATGAATCTCTCTCTGGACACAAATGGCACCTTTATACTGAAGACTAGTGCTACACTTTCTTTGGTAATACCTTTGAGATTGCAGTTGGAATTTCATTTGTAAATTAATTTGGAAAGGATCTATATGTTTACAATTTCCATGTCCACATCCATAACATGGCATTTTACCTTTAATTATTCAACTTGTTTTTCAATTGCCCTTGATAAAAAATCCTATCAGTAGAGTTAATAAACTTATTACCTTTTATTAAGCCTTTCCTAGGAGTATCATATGTTTTGCTGCTTAAAATCCATGAAATCACTTCTTCATTATACTTCACTCATTTTTGAAGTGTATTTATTTTGTGATGTATTTATTTTGGGCTCATTTACTAAATTATTAGTTTCCATAGTTTTTTGGCTTATCATCTTCAATTCTCCATTCTAGATAATATTTAAAAGATAATTTTGTTTCTATTTTATATTTTTACCATTTCTTCTTTACAGTTGACAATAACAGTAAACTTCTAGAATTTAACACTAAAAGGAAAAGGGCATCCTGTCTTCTGCTGATTTAAACAGCAATGCATTTAAATTAGCCTTTGATCTCCACAATTCTGGAGTGATAAATGGGATTTCTAAAGATTGTCATTCCTCTATTTCCTCAGAACACTACAATTTCTCAGAAGTAGGATGAAAGGTGCAAAGTAGCTTTTTGTGGCTAACTTTAATACCTTTAACTCAGTCTCCACAGCACTAGACAGGAAAATCCCTGGAGTTCTTGGCATTCAAATGGCATTCTTTCATAGTCTCCAGGGTCAATTCACAACCTGCCCAGCGTTTTGATATCTTTGTTCACTTCAATTTAATAATAATAACTAATAAAACAGCTAACATTTGAATTCATATTATACAGCAGGCACTTTTTAAGTTACTCTACCTTGAACTAACTCAATAAAGCCTCACGATTATCCAGTAGGGTAGGTACCTATATTTCCTCAGTACAGATATGACAAACTGAGGCCAGCGAACCTCAGAGAAACCCAACAGGCAGAGAAACAGACCTTGGAGGCAGAATCTCTAGCTAAGTCCTCACCGGCAGTGCCTGGCCTGAGGCAGAGGGAGAGGGTGGAACAAAGACTTAGGTCTCCAAAGTGTCAACTCCTCCTCTTTTTGGTTTGTAATTTTAACAGTAAAAGAAAAAAGCTGCTATTACATCATCTGCTAATACAGTACATTTATAGACACTAATAAATTTCATATAAAAACTGTCCTGGTTTTAACTTACTCAAAATTGAAATACATTATTTATATATACACATATGTCATCTGAAAATGAAATGAAAGCCCCAGTGAAGCAGACACTACATGATTATAATTTAAATCCAAAGATAAAAATGAAAAAAAATTCCTGAAGGCACTCATAAAGAACTTTCCTTGCCTACAGTAGAAAAGATTATTAGTAATTTTTCTCTAGATTTATTCCAATGTTTATCAATCCTGACTATATTTTTTTGGGAGGACCAAAATTGATAATCCACTTTTTCCATTTTACACATGTGGTATTTTTCAGCATTTGAAGGCAGTGAAGTACATATAACGTTATTTTCAATATCAGGATGATGTCATTTTTTGAATTAGTGGGTCTGGAGTGTGGGGGTCCTTGGGTTCACCCTGGGAAAGGTTTCACAAGAGCTCCCCTTTCAGCAGCATGAGGTGTTTCCCAGGTGAGTCTTCCCATGAGACAAACACATTAGTTCTATTTAAAAGAGCAGATTTCTTAGGAAAGGGACAGAAAAAGCCTGCATAGATATAGATTTCTCTGTAGGAGGGGCCCACTCTCTGTGGGGTAGCCTGTTTGCTGTTGATTTTGGATAACTATGCAGAATTCAAAAGGGCCCAAAGATTCCACAATGGGCCCAATCTCCACATGAGCTCCAGATGCTCCAGCAGCAGTCTGATACCTGCTTCGGTCTTGTGCCAGTGATAAGCCACTGGCACCTAAAGATCTGATTTCAACAGCTGGGCTAATGTTAATGGGTCATGTTAATCCCCTCTACCCCCAGGTCCCTGTGAGAGTCAGGTTTTAGCCTTCTGATGCCTCCTTAAGGTTTTCTATTCCTTCCTCCTCAAGAACATATGAAAAACTTATGTCCAAAATCCCAAACATTATCTATAAGAAAAAGGTGTCCACCGAATAGTTTGCTTTGTAATCTAATTCAAAGGACTGGAATCCTGCATAGGCTGAGAATTTTTGCAAGGCTCTTCCTGTTTTTCTGGAAACACATATAACAACCACGACTGAGACTGAACTAGGGCACTGTTTCCACTTTCTGATTAAAAAATTGTGGCAGATTATATGCCACAATGATATCAATTTTCAGTCTTATGAAATCTGAACACCCTCTTCACCGAAAAGTAGTCTTCTGTTGTTCAAATCGTGTTAAAACAAAACCAAGTAAAACTCTGAAGGCAGAAACAATGTCTGACTGGACTTTAGCAGGAAGCTGAGCATAGAGCCCAGCTCAAATGTCTGCTGAATTAACATGTACAGTTTGATATAACTAAGGTAGGGAATAAAATGAACCTAAATGACATCGACACAATAAAGCAAAGTCAATATACTATGATAGATGGATAAATCCACTCGTGCATATATAATAGATTCGTTTTGCAAAAATCTTTTTTTTTTTTCTCCAGAGAGAGACCTTATTTTAGACCCCTCCTCTGCAAGCAGCCAACTGCCTCAGCCTCCAGATTTCTGGGTTTCTCTCCCCAGGGCAGGAGCAGACGTCTCCATGGAAGGAGCCAAGAGGAAGTGGCAGGGACACAGGACCAGGAACTCTTTCTGCAAGTTTAGGGGCATTTCCCAGTCTGACCAGTCTCACTTCTACTCCTGAGGTGATGCCCTCTCCCTCCCTCCAGTCGCAACTCCAGGGCCAGCCACTACCAGTGTTCTTCCCCACCTGACTGACCCAGCACTGTCAGTCCTGGGAAAGAGGGAAGATGCCCCTGCTCTTACCACTGCACCTGTCCTGTCCTGGTTGTCTGCAAGGAGGAGAGGAGAAAGAAATGGGAGAGGGAACTGTTCCCCACTGTTCTGCTCCACCAGGAATGCCCCCAACTGCATTTATTCTCCACAAGCAATGGCACCTCCAGCCCCAGCCCACCTCTCACCTTCCTTTCTTTCTCTTCCCCTTCCCAGGTTGTTTGGGTGCATGTTAGAAATGCAAACCCTCCAGTCCCATCCCAGACTCCTTGACTCCAAATCCACATTTTAACAAGACCCCTGAGATTCTGAAGAACACATCTAAGGGCAATGTCCTAACACTGACAGCACATCAGAAACCGTGACTGTCATTAAGTCTGGCATTGGGGGTTGCAAGTATTGTTAATACTAATCCAGGAGGAACCACTGAGGAGTGCATTCCTGCACCTCCATTCCCAGAGATCCTGGGTCAACAGATCACTCAAAACTTGGAAATTTGCATTTTAAACAAGCTTTATTAGGAAAAAAAAAGATGTAAATTTAAAAGCTACTCTCAAGAGAATCAAGAAAATCCTGACAGCAGAAAATAATGGTTAAAAAAGGGAAAGAATTAAAATTAAAAATCATAATCTTTTTTACTTTCCTAGTAAGTCATTTTTAATGAGTTTTCTATGACTTACACAACATGCAGCCTGAGTCTTATTTTCAGCAAATGTCAAATAGGGAATTTACCTTGGTTATCTCTATTCCTAGTACTCAATAACCTCGCACAGCTATGGCTATTACAACTAACACTTCAGTCTTCACACTCTTGAAGGTGCCTTCATGGGTATTTTCTGTTTTTATTTTGACCTCCCTGTTCCCAAACTAAAGCCTTGGTAGGTTTAAATTTGTTTAACTTTGTGAACAGGAAATATGAGTGAACTCAATATGTAGCAATATGTATGCTTTTCAAGGTGAAAAGCAGGACTGCTTTAAACTTCAGTAGGACTTAAAGAA